GCTAATACTATTTTTGTTCCTAAATTTATAGATGAAAAATTGACAATTCATTTTTAATTCTTCTTTTTTTAAAATAATCTTATTTGGTCCTAGTATTATTGTGATATCATCATTTTTTGTCTTTCATTAACAAAACTGTTTAAATTTTGTAAAATTCAATGACATTTAGGTCTACAATTATGAATATTTTTCAAAAATAAAAATAAAAATACAATTATAGCGGGTCAACCCACTTTACATATTAAAAAAAATTGAAATATCATTGTATTTAATGACATTTCAACGATTTTGTTAACAAAGGACCAAAAGTAGTCATGCCATGCATAATAATATTTATGACCAAAAAAAAATATATTCTGAAAAAGATGACTAAAAATGAATTATGACCTATAAATTTAGGATAAAAAATGGAATTAACTCATAAAAATATATAAAAACAAATCTCTCCTATGTGAGTTTAATTTGTTTAGAAAAGTTTATTTATTAAGACGATAAATTATAGAAATTTTTTTTATATAAATTTAAACTCTAACCTGGAGAGTCATTCATTTTTCATGCTATGAAAAATTGGAAATTAGTGGAGGGATATGTCTTTATTGGCCAATAGCAAAACTTACGAATTTAATTTTGATTAATTGACATGTTGCGTGATGTTTGGAGTGGAAATTTTTATATATAATTTTTCTTCTATAAATTGAATAGTACATTATTTATGATTTTTTTTAAAAAAAAAAAAAAAAGAAAAAGTGAAATAGGATTTCAAACTTGTTAGAGCATCCCTAACTGTTGGGATTTTTCAAGTTTTTGGTAAACCACAATAAAAACTCATTATCGGTTAAAGTACCTATGAGATCCCTATACTATAGTGTTTTGTTCAATTTAGTTCTTCTACCTTAATTTTGTTCAATTTAGTCCCTGTACCTTTAAAAGTGAAACAATTAGGGGACCAAATTGAACAAGGATCAATTATTGTCCTTAATTGTTTCACTTTTAAAAGTACAATGACTAAATTAAACAAAATTAAGGTAGAAGGACTAAATTGACCAAAACACTATAGTACAAGGATCTCATAGATACTTTGACCCTCATTATCTCACTCAATTTTGAAAGCCCTTCTCCAAATAGTTTGAGTTTTTCCAAGTTTTTGTACACCCGTCAATCTACAAAAATTATATTTTAAATATTTCTTTATTTATTATCATTTTAAATTTGTAATTTTTAATTTTTTTTGTGTCAACCACACACATTGTGGTCCGAGTCTTTCTCTCTCCGTTTAACGGTCCAGGTTCTCTCATGGAGGCACAGAATCTGGCCCAAAGGGGATCATCACTTGTGGGAATTGAACTCGAGTTATCCCGAAATTCTCCCCCACAAAAAGAGCTCATTTACCACTTGAGCTACCCTGTTTGTAATTGTAATTAAATTAAACATCCAAAATTTAATTTATTTGATAATTATAAAATTTCAATTAAAATAATATTCGATTAAAAATTAAGACCTACTACAAAGAATTTTTATAAAATTACAATTTTTTCTATTGTTGATATAATTTCTTCGTCTACCCAATTAATTATGTCGATCGTCATCTTAATCATTAACAATCATATTGTGTAAAATAATGCAAGTATACATTAATTATTTCTCTCAAGTATTGATAAGCCTTGAATTAGCCCGTAAGTAAGCTTCATTTGTACTAATTTCTAAGTAAATGTTAGGTGTTTATGCGCAAATGAAGCACATTTCAGGTGTTTATAGCTTGAGGATGGAAAATGTAGATCGGAGCATACAAGAGCTCAAAATGAGAACGAATCAAGATGATATTGAGGCAAGGTGGTCCACAAATAGAAGAGCACGATGACAACAACAACCAACAGAGTATCGGAGCGAAGGAGAAGACGCAACAAGTGACACTCCGACTGGCTTTCAGATGGTCAGGTGTCACGCTGGGGGTCACGCCGTGACCCGCAGCGTGACAACCTAACCATCTGAAAGTAGTCTGCTGGTCATGGTGGAGGTCACGTCATGACCCCCATCGTGACTAGCAGACTACTTCACGGATCCCAGGCGTCACGCTCCTGGTCACGCTGTGACCTGCAGCGTGACATCCTAGGACCTGCAAAGCTTTGGCCTGGTCATGATGGGTGTCATGCCGTAACGCACATCGTGACTAGGCGTCCCGGAAGCCGTTATTTGGGGCGTTGGCTTTAGTATAAATAGTAGGGAGGAGTTATTTTGAGGGGACCTGGTAGTTTTCTAAGTCTTTCCTTAGGTTTTCTCTCCACAATATCCATTTTAGAACATCTATCCATTATAAATCCATCAATTTTGGGAGGATTTAGGGAAACAATACCACTTGTAACTACACTTTCTACTTCAAATTCAGATTTACCGTTTATAAGTTCAATCAAGTAAGAGTTTATTTCTTGTTCTCCTATTTTGTAAATTACTTTTGTACTTGAATTCATTGCCTATTATTTTAATTGCTGTTAGTTATTTCACTTGCTATTGGTTTGTTAATTCCACTATGAGTAGTTAAACTAGTTAGGGACTTAGATTGAATTGCCAAATCTAGATTTTGCTATGCATCTAAAATGAATGTGATTGTGAAATGAGAGAATTGTTTGACTCTTGTTTAGTTAGGGCCCAACTATGTAAGAGGTTATTGGATTTGGTGTTTCACCTATGAGAATAGGGATTCACCATAGCCAAACATGTCACGTTTCTAACTTACTCTTGAGAAAGGGGAGTTAGAAGGAAATGAGCACACAAGATGTTTGATTAATTGCATCACATAGTCTAATTACTATGAGAATAGGATTAGAACCTTGTTGAGAGTCCAATGTCCACGAGAGTGGCATTGGTATTGACTTAACTTCCTTGCATTCATTGTTGAACCTGGTTTATGCCTAAAATCTTAGAACACTAAGGAACATTCGTACATTGCTATTTGATCTAAGTCCTATCTTTTATCATTGTTTATCACTTAATTATTCATTTGTTTTATAATTGTCTCTATGCAAACAAACATTTCAATTTGGTTAGTTTTCAAACACTTAATGATATTGTGTTTAACCCCTTTTACTCAAGTCCCTTATGGCTATTCCTAGAGGACGACACTCACTAAAACATCACCGCTAAAATCAACTTCCAAATGGCTCCATTCCCGGGGAATAAGGCATCGGTCTTGAGTAATGAGTCCATTTGGGTTAACATGATAAATTATTAAAGTTAGAGAGTCTAGCTACTCTTATTTACTTGTTATTTTTGCAAGTTATTTTGTTTGTTTTAGTTTTATCTTTTAAGTTGTTAATCTGTTACCACTCTCACTCGTAACTATTGTTAGTTGCGAAGAACTCTTGTTGTTTCTGTGCTTGTAGGTGAATAGCTAGTTATATGCAAACTCGTTCTAAAGGGGTACAAGGCTTGCTAGCAATTGACCACAAAATCAACGCAATAGTGCGAAGAAGGAATAGGGCAGCCCAAAACCAAGAACAGTCACAAGAAAATATAGCCTCACCAAGTAGTTCCCACGACCATCTAGAAGGGATTACCGCTGAGACATTGAGAAGTGCAGGCCTGGGTGAACCTCAGAATCGGAAACCATTACGAGATGGGGAAGGAAACGAAGAACTTCCTCAACTGGTCGAAAGGAATCAACAAGAAAGGCCACCACCCAATCTTGGGCAATATCAAGAGAGGGATCCTATTATGAGCAACCAGATGAAAGAACTGAGTATTATGCAAGAAGGAGAAATGCACCAAGAGAGAACTACTTTGAGCCGAGGGGTCGAGAGATACCAAGGGATAAGTACTGTGAGCCGAGGAGGAGGAATGTACAAAGGGAAAATTACCGGGGGTTTAGAAGAGAGGAAAGGAGAACCATAACAGACTTCATGACCCCAGAGTTTAGTATGCATAACTCTATATACATTCCACCTGTTGAGGCAAACAACTTCGATATCAAGCTTTCAGTTATCGCGCTTGTCCAGAATGCTCCATTCAGTGGTTTACCTTCAGAGGATCCGCATGGCTACATCACCCGGTTTGTAAGGTCATGTGGGATGTATAGACATAATGGGGTACCTGAAGAGGTGGTTCAGCTCAAGTTATTCCCATTCTCAGTTATTGGTGATGCTGCTCGTTGGTTGGATTCCCATGCCAACAATCATTTCAGGTCATGGGAACAACTGCATAGGGAATTTATGCAGGAGTTCTTTCCATTAACAAAGACATTGAAAATCAAAAAACAAGTTCAGGATTTCAAGCAGGGTTCTATGGAATCGTTGGGAGAAGCCTGGAGGAGATTTAAGGCACTGAATCGACAATGGCCACCAAATGTGTTTCATCCTTGGGATGTCATCAATTCTTTTTACGGGGGATTAACTGACGAAAATAAGATGTTGTTGGATTCCTCATCAAAGGGAGCATTCGTATCCTCATTACCAGAAGAAGCTGAAGAATTGATTGAGACCATTTCAGCCAACACCTCTTATTGGTATAACAAAAGGGATTCTAAGTTCAGATTGTATGAGGTGAGTAATAGTACAGCTTCTGATGCCAAAGTTGAAGCAATAGCCATGAAATCCGAAGGCTTCAAGCAAGGATTGAAAAGATGGGTAAGCAACCGCAAGAGGGAAATCCGTGTATGTCACTAGCTCTATACTGTGACATATGTGGTGGACCACATGGGACCCAAGAGTGCACTTCTACATATGATGATCCCGGTTGTGAACAAGTAGGTGCTGTGGGTTACCAAAAACCTCAAAACTTCAATTCATATGGTAACACCAACCCAAATTGGAGGCAAGGTCAAGGGTGGCAAAACCAGAGACAATGAGGAAATCAGGGTGGAAGTCCTTCTTACAACACCTACAGGGGTAATCTTAACACTCAAAACCCGCTTCAACGAGGGGGGGGGGGGGTATAGACCACCGCCCACACAACAAGTGGGGGGTTATCCTCCTAGGGATGAACCACCGAGGGAGAGTTTTGAAGAGAAAATGGTAAGAATGATGTCTGAAATCAAGCAAGACATGGGATATATGAGACAAGAATGGAAGCAAGACATAAGGCAAGAAGTTTCAGCTATGAGACAAGAGGTCTCAAACTACAGGGAAGAGTCCAATTCCTCAATTCACAATCTGGAAACTCAGCTAGCCCAAGTTACCAAATCATTAGCGGAGAGGCCCCGGGGAGAACTTCCTAGTACCACAGAAAATAATCCTCGGGAGAGAGTTCAAGCCATTACCTTGAGAAGTGGCAAAGAACTTCCAGATCCTATATTGCAGAAGGGCTCCACTTCAAAGAGCCCAACTGAGGAAGCAAATCTGAAGGACCATGATGAGAAGGAAACTGAACAGAACACCAGCACAATCCCGTCTACTAATCAAAATGCCAAGAAAGCCTTCGAAAAAGGCAAAGAAAAAATTGATGTTCCAATTTACAGGCCACCACTCCCCTGTCCAGGTAGGGTAAAGAAAGACGTGGATAAAATGCAATATGGTAAGTTTCTTCACCTTTTAAAACACAATTGCATATTAACATGCCTTTTATAGATGCTTTGGGACAAATGCTCCGATATGCCAAGTTCTTGAAAGACCTCCTCACCAATAAGAAGAAATTGGAAGAATCAACCAATGTGGTACTGGGCGAGGAATGTTCAGCGATCGTGCACAAGGACATGCCTCAAAAGCTGAAAGATCCTGGGAGTTTTACAATTCCTTGCCAAATAGGTGAAACTGATTTTCATAAGGCTTTAGCTGATTTAGGTGCAAGTATAAATCTTATGCCCTTTGATCTTTTTAAGAAATTAGATTTGGGTACTCTTAAACCAACACGTATTTGTATTCAGTTAGTTGATCGTCCAATCAAACATCCCAAAGGGGTGATTGAAGACGTGTTGGTTAGAGTTGACAAATTTATTTTTCCTGTGGATTTTGTCATATTAGACATGGATCCTGACATTGAGGTGCCACTAATCCTTGGTAGACCATTTTTGGTAACTGCAAGGGCACTCATTGATGTTGGGAGTGGGAAGCTAGTCATTCGTGCTGGTGACGAGTGTGCTAGTTTTGACGTGTCTAAGTTGACTAAATACCCCTTGTCTGCTAATGATTCTTGTTATTTTGTGGATATCTTGCATGAGCATATTGAGTCTATAGTGCCCGATTTGGTTTGAGATGTGAAAAATAGAATGGAATTTGATATGTCAAGTTGGGGCACTAATTCTAATTGTTGTGAAATGGAAGCTAAAGTTGCTGATGACACTTTTGTTGGTTGTGATAAAAGCATGCATCATGTTAATAGTTGTGAAAATAATGACTCTTTGAATTCATGTATGCTTGAACATGTTGATTCTAATGTGATTGATGATATTCTCTCGTGTGATATTGATGCTATTTCTTCTTGCGCTGACAATTGTCAAAACTGTTGTGACTTAATTGGTGAAGTTGAGGAGGAATCAGTTGGATTGAAACGGGATGTTTTAGTGGTGGAAACTAAGAAAAAAACAAGAGGGAGTTATGATTGAGAGTGTTGAAAAAAGTGAGCTCAAAGCATTGCCTGAACATTTAGAGTATGTTTTTCTGGGGAACAATTCTACACTCCCCGTTGTGATTTCATCTAAGCTTGAGAGGAGTCAAAAAGCTAGGCTGGTTGGAGTGTTGAGAAAGAATAAGGGGGCTACTTGGTGGAAGCTCCAAGATTTAAAAGGGATTAGCCCTACTTTGTGTACTCATAAAATCTTCTTAGAAGAAGAAGCCAAACCCGTAGCCCAACCCCAAAGAAGATTGAACCCTAATATGAGTGACGTTGTTAAAAATTAAGTGGTGAGACTCTTAGTGTGGGGATGATTTATCCCATTTCTGATAGTGCGTGGGTGAGCCCCACCCATGTTGTACCAAAGAAAGGGGGAATCACTGTAGAAACCAATGAGAAAAATGAGTTGATCCCTACTAGGAAGGTCACATGTTGGCGGGTGTGTATTAATTACAGGAGGTTAAATGATGCCACCCGAAAAGACCATTTTCCTTTGCCATTCATTGACCAGATAGTAGAGAGGGTTAGCGGCCATGGTTTATATTGTTTCCTGGATGGGATGAGTGGATATTTCCAAATCCCGTGGCCCTAGAAGACCAAGAAAAAACCACTTTCACCTATCCTTTTGGGACCTTTGCATACAGGCGCATGCCATTTGGCTTGTGTAATGCACCTGTTACCTTTATGAGGTGTATGATAGCCATATTTGGGGACTACCTAGGAGACTTCATGGAGGTCTTTATGGATGACTTTACCATTTGGGGGGAAACCTTTGAGCAGTGTTTTGAAAACTTAGAGAAAGTGATGGTGAGGTGTCAAGAGGTAAACCTTGCGTTAAGTTGGGAAAAGTGTTATTATATGGTTGAAGAAGGTATAGTGTTGGGGCACAAAGTTTCAAAGAGGGGGATTGAAGTTGACAAAGTAAAAACATCTGTTATAGAAAACCTGCCCCCACCCCACTCTGTCTCTAGCTTAAGAAGTTTCTTAGTTCATGCGGGGTTTTACAGGCGGTTCATTAAGGATTTCTCTACGGTTGCTAGACCTTTGACAAGACTTCTAGAAAAGGATGCTGAGTTTGAATTTGGAGAGGAGAGCCTAATTGCCTTTAGAACAATTAAGGAAAAGTTGGTAAGTGCCCCTGTTTTAGCTGGACCGGATTGGGCATTGCCCTTTGAATTAATGTGTGATGCAAGTGGGTATTCAGTTGGTGTTGTCTTGGGGTAAAGGAAGAACAAATACTTTCAATCCATAGCTTTTGCCTCCACTGAGAAAGAGTTACTAGCTGTTGTTTTTGCCCTTGATAAGTTTAGATCCTATCTTCTATTGTCCAAAGTTGTAGTGTTCACAGACCATGCGGCTTTGAGATATCTAATGTCTAAAGCCGAGGCAAAACCCAGACTGATAAGGTGGGTCATTCTCTTGCAAGAGTTTGACCTTGAGATTCTGGATAAGAAAGGCTCGGAAAATGGGGTTGCAGACCATTTTTCTAGAATTGAGCAGCCAGAGAGTGGGGATGTTAGTTCTAAGATAGATGAGTGCTTCCCTGATGAGAAACTGTTGAGTGTGGATGAGGTTCCCTGGTATGCTGATATAGCCAACCATCTTGTTGGTGGAGTCTTGCCCACTTACCTAGATGTCCATAGTAGGAGAAAGTTCTTAGTTGCGGCTACGCACTACTTCTGGGATGATCCTTTCCTTTTCAATGTTTGTGCTTACAAAATGATTAGGAGGTGTGTGTCGGAGAAGGAAGGTTTGGAAATCTTAGAACATTGCCATGCTGGGCCAACTGGGGGGCACCATTCTGCAAATAGAACAGCAATGAAAGTTTTAGAAGCTGGTTTCTATTGGCCCACGTTGTTTAGAGATGCCCAATGTTGTGTTAAGAACTGTGATAGATGCCAGCGTGTGGGTAACATTTCGGGGAGAGATGAGATGCCACATACCTACATTCTGGCGTGTGAGGTGTTTGATATATGGGGTTTAGATTTCGTGGGCCCATTTCCTGATGCTAAGGGGCTTAAGTACATCCTGGTGGTCATTGATTATGTCTCTAAGTGGGTAGAGGTACAAGCCTTGAGAACTAATGATGCTAGATCGGTAATTGCTTAACTGAAAAAATTGTTTTCTAGGTTTGGGGTGCCTCGGGTGGTTATTAGTGACCGAGGGACGCACTTTAGGAACGCACCATTGGAAAAGGTGTTGGCAAAATATGGGGTGCAACATAGAGGGTGAGTTCCTTACCATCACCAAACCAGTGGCCAAGTTGAAAATGCAAACCGGGATATTAAGGCTATTTTAGAGAAAACGGTTGCAAGGCATCGAAGAGATTGGCCTGATAAGCTAGATGATGCCTTGTGGGCATTTAGGACCGCTTATAAATCTCCTATTGGAACCACTCCTTTCCGCTTGGTTTATGGCAAGGCATGTCACTTGCAAGTGGAGGTTGAACACAAGGCCTACTGGGCTATCAAAAAGCTTAACAGTGATATTGGTTTTGTAGGGCGTGAAAGACTTTGGCAACTTGATGAATGGAGAACTCTAGCCTATGAAAATTCCAGAGCTTACAAAGAAAAAACCAAATTGTATCATGACAAGCATATCAAAAAGGGCAAAGAGTTCAAGGAGGGTGATCAGGTCTTACTTTTTAATTCTAGACTGAAGCTATTCCCTGGGAAGCTTAAGTCTAGGTGGTCGGGACCATTTACAATTACTAAGGTGTTCCCATATGGCACAATTGAAATTGCACACCCAGACAAGGGTAATTTTAAAGTCAACGGGCACCAGGTGAAACAATATCATGGGGGGTGTATTGATCGTCAGGTAGCCACCATACACTTGGTACACCTCCATGATTGATCTACATTCGCTTCGGGCTAAAGACGTTAAACATAGCGCTATTGGGAGGCAACACAAGCTCTTTAATCTTTTTATTTTTAAGTATTGTTTATTTTTTTTGTTATTTCCGTTCTTAAAAATTTTCCGTGAAAAGGATGCTTTTAGAAAAGTGTGGGGATTCTAATATTTGGTTTCTTATGTTATAAAGGTGGCAACGAACATGTGCGGAGTACACGCGGACACTCGGGATCTAATTTGGCAGAATACTTGGTCAAAAGTCCAAAACCGACGCACGGTAGGGTGTCACGTTGTCAATCACGTCGTGACCCCCAGCGTGACACCGTTGTTCTGCTAGTCACGATGGGGTTCACGGCGTGACCCCCATCGTGACGAGCAGAACCCCTTTCTGAAGGTCGGGTGTCACGCTGGTTGTCAAGCCGTGACCTCCAGCGTGACCCCAACCTTCAGCGAGCTTCTCTGCTGATCAGCGCGACCCCCCCCCCCCCCCTTTATTAAAAAAAAAAAAAAAAAGAGCTGTGCAGGTCCCCACGCACCACCGTGTGAGATTTGCATATGACCCAATTAGGATTTGTATCTATTTTGCATGCTTGTTTGAGGTTCAATCCCCCACATCCATGAACCTAGGTCATTGATATCTCGAAATGGGAGTGTATACGGGATAGTTTTGTGAAATGTAAGGTGGTATGACCTAGACTGAACTTTCTCGGTGTGGCACACAGCAAAAGGAGAGATTTTTATTTTAGTGAGTTGTGTGATTCCCTACTCCCAATGAAAAAGGCAAGAGGGATTGATGAAAAAAAAGAAAGAGTCAATGGAAAAAAGCTAAAAAAGACTTTAAGCTATCCTTGTATGAGAGGGAATAACATGAGGTGAGCCATCTCGTAGGATTCAGGTAACCATTGCACAGACTTCAAAAAAGAGAGAAACTCACGCTAAGCCAAAACGCATGGAGTGGCTTGTGTCACACCATCACACTGACTAAATAGGTCTTTGGGGCCAAATGAGGTAACGTTGGAGAACCCGTGTGCATCGTTCCCATTAGTGGGCTCAGCTTTTTAGGCCTGTGGAAGTTGAGGATTGAATCATTTCTGTGCTTGTGAATATGTGTGTTTGAGAGAAATTCCATGTAAAACAATGAGTGAACTTGGGGTTTTGGGGTCCTTACATTTTGATCCAATTGAGAGTATCACATTCACTTCACCACCGTTGCAAAGTAGGAAGAGGAACAACAAATTTATGATTTCTTGTGCATAGCTCATTTACTTAATCTTTGGAATTGTGTGGTTGCTTTTGATGATGTTCGGTTTCGCTTGGTTTTGTCTTGTTTGAAGGCAAGCAAGGTCTAAGTGTGGGGAGATTTGATAAGCCTTGAATTAGGCCGTAAGTAAGCTTCATTTGTACTAATTTCTAAGTAAATGTTAGGTGTTTATGTGCAAAGGAAGCACATTTCAGGTGTTTATAGCTTGAGGAAGGAAAATGTAGATTGGATACAAGAGCTCAAAATGAGAACAAATCAAGATGATATTGAGGCAAGGTGGTCCACAAATGGAAGAACACGATGACAACAACAACAACAGAGCATCAGAGTGAAGGAGAAGACGCAACAAGTGACACTCCGGCTGGCTTTCAGATGGTTAGGCGTCACGCTGGGGGTCACGCCGTGACCCGCAGCGTGAACACCTAACCATTTTAAAGTACTCTGCTGGTCACGGTGGAGGTCACGCCGTGACCCCCATCGTGACTAGCAGACTACTTCGCGGATCCTAGGCATCACGCTGCTGGTCA